TTAGAAAAAAATTCAATTGACAAATAAAGGACCATTCCCGTAGATGTAACTAGCTTCGTGAATGATGCAATTTCATCGGTGCATGAACTTTGATAAGTTAAATGCTAATTTTGATCCCTCAATTATGTGCTAAAATCATTTTAGTAAGTATACTAGTCACTCTTAATAATATAATGATGAGAAAAGTGTCAAACCCACAAAAACTTTAATTAATTAATTATCAAAATAATTAATCTAAATTTATTTAAATAATCGAAAAGGAAGAAACTTTAATCAAAAATAATAAAAAAAATAACAATTAAAATAAAACTAATCAAAATATGAGGTAATAAGGTATCGATTTCACCATAATCAATTAATATAAATTTTGGATTAATATGCTTCCAAAAACAATTTTTTGAGTGTTATTACATGAGATAATGGATTTTCCTAAATTAATTAACTAGTTTTCTCAAATCTAGTTAATTCTTTACTTGTTTGTTAAATTAATCATGTTTCTATGTAATTTAAAATAAACTAATAAGTATTAAATTTTATAAAACCTTTAGCTTAAAAAGGGGAGCTTCTAACTCTCCTCTTCCTCTACTATCATATATGCTAATTACTTTACGGTCTTATAATCTAACATATGGTTTATATTATTATCGGCCTAATTTATGCAATTATTTTTCAAGTTCATACATAAATCATCAAATCAATTGGAAGGTGATAAAACTTTCAATGCATTAAATTTATTAATATAAACTCATCGTGTGAATAATTTTAATTAAAAGTATGATTTAATTTTAATTAAAAGTATAAAAATCATAAAATTTATAACAAATTGATTAGACTATATCGCAATCTTAGTAAAATAATTTAGTTCATGATAAAAATAATAAAATTTGAAATTGTAATTATGAATATAAGAATATCAAAAAAAAATAAAATCAAATTTAAGAAAATTAAAATCATTAATCTCTTATTATTCTTTATATTGATATTTAAAATTGTCTAAAAGAGAGTTGCCGCTGGCCTCCAAAGGCTCCCTAAATTTTGAATTTAAATGAGTATTTATATGATTTTTAAAAACTAATTAAAATAAAAGTAAGACCCACACTCAAAATAATAA